ACTCAATGTTTCTTTTTTGTTCTTGTCACAATGGGACAGCCTCTCAGAGCTGAGAGAATACACGGTGAGCCTGGCAGACAAAGGGAAGGAGGAAGACAAACAGGAACAGGGCTCACCTCAAGCATCCGGTGTGCTGGGGCAGTCAGTCATCTCTCTGCTTTCCTCTGAGGAGCTGGCAAAGCTTATAGAGGAAGTCAAAGCCTTAGATGAAGACACCTTAAAGGTAGACCTGCCTCTTTTTTTTTTTTTTTTGGTGCATGATTTTTGGAAAGCTGTAGAGTGAATGTGTCTGGTAATATTTGCAACTTATTATTATGCTTTCGCTACTAAGTCTCATTTAAAAATGCACAACAGACTCTCCAGTCACTGTGACATATCTTCTGGGAAGTTTTTAACTTTACTCCTTTCTCTGCCTAGGAACTTGATGATATTCATGTTACAGTTTTGCATAAGGAAGAAGATACTGGGCTTGGATTCAGCCTGGCAGGAGGCATTGATCTAGAAAACAAAGTGGTAACAGTAAGTAGCATCTTAAAAATTACTCTCAAATCAACGCACTATATAAAAATACATACCTTTATACGTGTTTTTCTACTACAGTTTTTGGCTTTTAGATAATCAAAGCAGGCAGCTGTATTGATAGGTTTGGAAGGGACATTGTGGGTGAAAACAGGTTCCTTCTGCACAGAGCTGTCTCTCCAGGTGTCTGGTAGCAGTTTCCTGCTTCTTTGGGCACCTCCTCCCCAACAGCTCTGAAAGCTGAGGCAGGACACACAGCCCTTGGCAGGAAATAACCAACACCTTACTCACCTGCTTATAGAAGACCATGCAGGATGGTCTGGAGGAAAGGTATGGGTGAAAACATGTCAGGGGTCTGGAAGCTAGAGATAAGTGTCACACCACCTTCCTCTCACGAGCAGCAAGAGGGTCAGGAAGTAGAATATGCAAGGTACATAGCACAGGTAGCATGGCTGTAGCCATCTGGTACTAGGACCAAACTGCTCCCCGTGCTGCTTGAGGAGGGATGTGCACAGGAAAGCTTCTCTGTGCAAATTTATTCATCCTCCATTCTGAAGTGTGATAGAAGCAACTTATTCCTGGCAAAGAATAAAAAATGCACATGGTGTAAAGTGTTAACTAAGGGATTTAGTGATGTTCTTTTTTCCTCTTCCCTTGTGTGTGTGTGTGGTGGCTGGGCTCTTCAATAGGTTCACAAAGTATTTCCCAATGGACTGGCCTGTCAGGAAGGAACTATTCAGAAAGGAGATGAAGTGCTCTCCATTAATGGGAAGTGTCTGAAAGGTGCAACTCACAGCGATGCCTCAGCAATCATGCGACAGGCCCGGCAAGCCAGACAAGCTGTTGTTGTCACCAGAAAATCCAAAGATGGAGGAAAAAATCTCAATGTTTCAACCAGCTCTAGTACATCATCAGTAGCAAGTGATGCCTCACAAGAGTCTGGTAAGTTTAGTGGCATTATCTTGCAGCCCCCACTTAGTAAGTGTTTACTCATCACCTGAAATCCAGGTGCTCATAAAACCAGCAGTGGCCGCATAAATCTGTGAAGCCAAATTAAACACAGCACAGTTAATAAAACATTCCTGAAACATACATTGAAATATTTGAAATAACTTTACTGAAAAGGGAAAGAATTAATGGATTTCTAAAATAAAAGGCCTTAAAAACCCAAGCATGATTCTTTTTGTGGATTTCTGTAGATGTACAAAGATGGTTATTGTAGCACATCATCCAATTGAAGGTATAATGACAACTCAGTGAACAGTGATTCTTTATCCTAATATTGTTGCAAGACTTGTTCTCCATGAAAGAGAATTTCAGTTTGAACAAACAATATGCTATTGTTTGATATAGCAGGTGGCTACATCAGCAACACAGCATGCTAAGAGTTTTGCATAATATTTCACTTTCAGAATAGTTTTGTGTTTTGATTTGGTTTTGTTGTTTTTTGGTTTTTTTTTTCTAAAGCAGGAACTGGAGTTCTGTAGATTTATTTCCATTTCCAAAATAGCAGCATAATAGTCAATAACAACTTCATGACTAATATGAATCAAATATTTCCCTTAGATTTTGTTAATTTAACAGATTTTTATAATTCTAGTAAATGTCTTATGTTTCCATTCTCCCATTAATTCAAACATAACTTTTTTTCCCCAGCTTCCCAGAGGGCCTTAAAATGACATAATGAGAAATTAAAAGCTTTAGCTTTCTCTTTCATTTGGCAGTTTATAGGACCTTTGCAAACAATCCAAAAGTTAATTTTTTGTAAGAGATGTTTGAGCTTTTTAGACTGTGTGCTGTCCCTGTGGTAACTTTCCATTTGTTTCCAGCCACTGGGGATACAATCTGCACTGTAACTCTAGAAAAAACATCTGCTGGTTTAGGATTCAGTCTGGAAGGAGGGAAAGGCTCTATTCAGGGAGATAAACCCATCATCATCAACAGGATATTTAAAGGTAAACACACTTAACATGTCCCCAACTCAAGTAGATTTGTGGGGTTCATAACTGACTGCTGATATGTAACTGTGGAAATGTCATTTTTTCAAATGCAGCATTATATTGTTTGGTGCCAGTAATTTGTTGCCTGCTGGGACCGGGTGGTTTATAGCAAACATGCTGGTGATCCATTCACTAGTAAGTGAAAGATCCATTAAAGTTTCCTCCACAGAAAGAAATAAAGGAAATTCATTTTCTGTCTGCAGGGACTGCACTGGAACAGAGCAGCCCTGTTCAGCCTGGCGATGAGCTCCTACAAGTGCACACAACTGCCATGCAAGGACTCTCCCGTTTTGAGGCGTGGAATGCAATCAAGGCATTACCTGATGGGCCCATCACAGCCATCATCAAGAGGAAGAATCGCAGCTCTGTTACCAGCAAGTCATCCAAAACTTTGTAATAGGAGGGATTAGACTACTGCCAGTATTCAAACAAAGGATTTTATTGCTTGCAGGCACTTGGCTGCCTCAGCAAGATACTCAGAAAGCACCCAGGAGGAGTACACTGGATCTTACTGCCAGTTACAGAGAAAGCTGTTAATCTGGGATTAACTAAAACGTGCAGAAAACGGGCACGATTCTTATTTCAACCTTCAGAAACTGATGTTACAAAGTGTATAATTAGAAAATAATGACTGTTAATAATATAGTGGTTGTAATAAAATATGTCACAGCTATAGTACTCTCCTGTTTTAAGCTATTAACTTAGCAGGTGTCACAAGCAGATCCTGTGCTGAATTTTCAGTGCTCCCCTCCCAGTCCTGCTCCTTACCTTACCATCCCAGCAACAAGAAATGTGTCTATGAGCCTACAATTAAACACTGCCTTAGAGAAAGGGTAGGGCAGAGAAAGAGGCTGCAGTTGTGTGTGTCAAAACAACATTCCCTAGAAAACTCCAGCTTTCCTATTAAAAACACAGAACATTCAGGACAGCCAAAACCTGTAAAAGTGACTTTCTACTAGCAGCTAACAGAGCCATCTCAACTGCAGCAGTCAAACACAGGGTGGAAAGGAGTTCTCATGGTATTTCAAGGCCCAGGCAGGAAGCTGAGGGTAATGTAGAAGTTTTCTCAACCTTCCTCTGGCCAGAGGTCTCAAGAGGACTACAGCAGGAGAATAACAAGGCTGTTCAGAACAAAATCTTACCTTCTAAGAACACTAAATGTCTGTTAATTTTGTAAGGGAAAGTACCAGTGAGAGTAATTGTGAATTTAAGTACTGCTGAACTGAAATATTTATTCTGGAAAGGCTGAATAACTTGGAGACAAATCTGTACTTCAAACACTGCTTCCTATATGCACTGTATGGAACTCTACCAGCAGCACAGGTACCTATGACAAGATGGTGCCTCATGCACTCACTTGGTCTTCTCTGTCCTGCTTCATTAAAGGGAGAGAGATGCAAGGGCAGGATGGAAGTAGTGACTCCCCAGCTGAGAGCCAGATGGCTGATATGGTTATTGTCCTTGGCTGCTCACCTTCCCAGAGATGGGAATTTTCTGTACCCTTCTTTGGTTATCTAATTTCACCAGGAAGAAGTTAAGGAGCTCAGAAGCTGTTTTCCACTTAACACAATGCCTCAAAAATAGCAATTAAGAGAAAGGGAAGGAGGACAGGCAGGAGAAGTTATTAATTAAATCCAGGCATTGAACTTGCTGTGGCCTTTTCTCACAAGACGACTGTAAATTAATCCTTGAAAGAACATTCTTGACAAGCCATCTGTCCCCACACTTCCAAACACTTACTCAGCTGAGCTCTCTTTCCCAAAAAAAAACCTCTATGTCAAAAAAAAATTCATTAGTTGGGTAGAAACTGAAATAAGAGAAAAATGTGAGAGTAAATCTTATACTTTTTTGAACTGGTACCTACATAAAAGTCTTTGCCAAAACGTTTCCAACTCCAATTTGGCAGGGCAGAAGGCTGAATATGAAGGGCTCTCAATTTCTGGATAGAAGGTGATGGACACTCAAAAAAGAGATTCTTAAGTTATTCCATGAAGTGTCTCACGACCTTTATTGCTAAAAGCAATAAAAAAATTATAGCTAATAAGAAGCCATATTTTCTGCAAAAATGAGTGGTGACCTCAGCTGCACTTCGTGACCTTTTTGCTAATTAAATTAATTATAATCCTGGCAAGACTTGCCAAGATATTATAATTCATGCCTGAAAACTTCAGTACACTTACAAATATGTATAAGCCTCTGTAGTATCAAGGCCCACATCTCTTCTCAGTGAACTTGTTATTCTTCCTAAGTATAGAAAGCAGCAATTAGAAATAAAGAACAACCAAGGGCAGAGAACCTTGAGGGTGAGTGTTCTCACCAAAACACCTCTTCCCCAGGTAGTAGACATCATCAGGGAAGGATTTTTACCTCTCTTTGTCTTAAATTCAGAGAGATGGTGGAGGTCAAAGCAGCTGTTTGGCTTCCCTGATGGCCAGAACAGTGTATGAGGAACCATTTCAAAGGATGATTCAGGAAAAACAGTAAGATGCAGCACAAAAAAATATTTATTTCACCACACTCACACAGGTTTTTACATCTTTGTATACAAAGGAGACTGGACTAAAAACTATTTCCTTGAAAAACCAGTCCATAGGGTGAGGTTTACAGTGGGAAACTTATTGTGCAAGTCCATGCCCTATACCAAAGATAAAAAAATACAGGGGCAGAAAGCAAAGCATATTCACCTTATTAAATAATCGAGTCACCACAGTAAAATCACAACCTGCATTTAACTTCCTCACTCAGCAATTATTTTTACTTTTGCAATTGTATGTAATCCATCGCAATGTCTGATGTTCCTGCAGCAACCAGCACTATAGATATCTCTTAAAATGGACACACCTTGGCACAAAAATCAGGTGCTGATTTCCCAATGTAATGTTGGGAGGCAAACCAGTCTTAGAAAAAAAGCAACATCCTTATGGCCTGTCAAGGCAAAGCTAATTAAAAGATTATTTACCCGTTAAAACCTCTCCCCACAGGAAACCAAAACCATTCAAATACAGTTCAAAATAGTCATTTCATATGCCTTTTAAAAATGGCAATTAAAGTGCTTAATCCTCTTTATTTATTGCCTCTACATTGCTGCAGTTTGTGTCATGAACCACTGGTTCTGGTACCAGAGAGGGGAAAGGGAGAGTGTGTATGTGCCAGCCCACACACCTGTGCATTGATTAGCACTGCTGGACCCTGACCTAAAAAAAAGCACTTAAGGCATATTTACCACCAATATTGATGTCTGCTGGAACAAACAAGTGAAATCCTCTACATAATCCCGTTTGCTCTGGCTTTCACAATGTGCTGGCTGGACCCACTGAGGCATTTTAGCAGCTCCAGGAGTGCTGGCTGCAGGAGGGATACATCTCCTTTCGGGCAACATTTTTCCACAGGAATCTACTGGGAGTTTCAGAGACCAAACAGAGCTGACCTGCACCTGGCTGTGGTGCTAAGTGGATTTTAGCAATGCTTCACCTCACAGACACTGACAAAGAGTGGGCAAGAGCAGATCCAGTATGTCTGTCTTCTCCCTGCAGAGTCACCACTGCCGCCTCCAGGATTCTTCCAGCCTCACAGGTGGTATTTTTCTAATCATTAAAGTGAAGATTTTCATATTACATAAGAATGCATTGTTCTGCATGGAGTCAGATAGAAAACGCTGTTTTAAAATGTACTCAGTTCATTGTTTCATGTCATCTTTTTTTCTATCTTAGCAGATAGAAAAACCCTGAGACCAACTTTGTATTTTTACCCACGAGCTGACAGGTTGTTTCCTACCCTCAGCTGGTGATGTCAGCAACTCATCTTGTCATGCTTTTAATGCCTTAACAGCTTTGGTCAGGTTGCTGTAAAATCCAGATATGCTAGATGGAAAAAAGGAATCCACCACTGTCTGGGGAAGATAGCCACCAAGATCCGTCTGAAAGAAAGTGAGGAGCTCAGTCCTGTTTGGCTCTCTGCAAAGACAATTAAAGTGATTTTATAGACAGTGGTTTAAGAGTATTAAGAACTTTTCAGTGACTCTTACTTGTATTAGAACAGATACTTCCAAAAGCTTTTCTTTTTTTTTAAAGAAAACAGACATATTTCAGTGAATGTCACTACAAAATTATCACTACAAAAAGTTTATCTAAGCCCTAATTAGTTACATGACTCTGTCCATAAATTATGGCAAATCAACCAGATAATAATTTATCAAAAATTAAGAGCATACTTGTATGTTTTGCTGAATTTCTGAATTTCAAGAGGTCAGGGAGAATTGCACCGTGATAACAGTTTCTGTAATATTAAAGACTTCCCTCCAGGAAATGAAGATAAACTAATTTGTTGCACAAAAATGAGAACAAGAAGAACACTCAGTCATCATGATTATTGGGAAGGCAGAAATATACCATTGCCAGGAGGTTACAGGTCACATGTGGCCACATACACATGAACACACCACACAATGCATAAGGAGTGCTTAAGAATTTATAACATTCAAGCAGGATGTTTCTTACCCTGGAACAGGTATGCAGAAACAGCCACAAGGATAATTAAAACCTCTCACAAAATTTGGTTGAGGAGGACACAGCGGGTGTTCCACATTGGTGGCTGAAAGAAAAAGCATTGAAGGAAGTGTCATTCTTCCAGAAAACAGGAAAGAGTCATTGGTAGGCAAAACTCCAGATGGGAAGCAAACTCATTATTCAAAATGTATTTAAAAAGAACTGCAGTACAACCTCTTCAGTGTGGGGCTGAGAAGTAGTCAGAAAAGACCATTAAAAGGAACTACTCTGGCCTTATAATGGGGAAATCAAAGTGCTGAATTTAGAAGCAATTGTTACTGAACTCTGAAGGAGGAAGCATCGACATTTGACACAGTTTCATCGAGCCCTCAGAGGTCATTTGAGCTGCTTCCAACAAATCCAGGTCACATAGATACATCACTTGGCTGCTGAAAAGCTGCACTCTAGCAAGTATATAAATTCCTGACAAGGCTTTTCTGAACAGGATAGGAAAATGGGACACCCCAACAGTGGTCAGACCTGTAATAGTTAAACAACAGAATGAAAGTAAAAAAACAAATAAACATACTTCTGTACAGTGGCAGCCCCTTAAATATCAGCACCTTTTTTTTTTTTAATAAAACCAATTATTTTCACATACAGGAGTGGTATATTTATTCAATGGCTTCACTGAACCCTGTGCAAAAAATGTTAAAACATGATTTAGCCTAAATGAGGCTCCTTTTAAAAAGTTCTGTAAACTCTTAAAACAACAAAAAAAACACACTCAAAATACCCCAAAATTTAACACTAAATTAAATACTTATTCAATCTCAAAAGGATGGGAGGGAACAAATCATAGACAAGTCTTATCATTATCTGAGTGTTAAGATGATTTACATATTCTGGGAACAACAATGTAGAGAGATTACTATTTTCTCTTCTGATCAAGATCAGGTCAACAACTACTGAACAGCTTATTACTTAGTTTTAATTTTATAGGTTTTTTTTCTGGTAGCTTTATTTTATAGTTGTTTCCAGTAGCTGTTGATTATCTCCAAATGTAACATGAACCTGTTCACAAGTGCCTCACCAGCAGACTGCATCGTCCCATCTTCGTATTGCTTCATCACTACTACATCCACAAATTCCCTGGGTGAAATAACCCTCATGCAAGCTGAAGGGGTTGTGGTTCTGCATATAGAGACAGTCTGGAAATCACAGAACAGTTATGTCAGTTGATGCTTTCAAAAGTACAGCAGAAAAATCCCTATACTTTCTGGCACTCTTCTAGTTATACTTTCTAAATTCCATCAAGGTGTTCCACATACTTTGTTGAACAAACTGTAAATCAGCACAGTCAAAAGGCACTACCATGATCAATCAAGGACAGGAAAAAAACAGAGTGACAAGGTATTGCTTCCATGTTCAGAGGCGACACATACCACAAGGGATGCTGAAATGCAAATCTGGCACATCTGTGCTCCCAGGAGAGTTAAAATCCTTGTCCTCCCCAGGACACTAGCAAAGATAACTTCTTTGTGTAGGATACAACTTGATAACCCAGTTTGCTACACTGCACAAGCATTAACCCTACCATCTGCTTCCCTGACTGGCTCCCAAACAGAAGTTTCTACCACACTGGTAGAAACTGGCAAGTCTGTGAATTTCAAGTAGCAGGCTGCAGCATTCCTGAACTTGTCTATAATGAATACTGAATGCCTACAGGATTTCCCCAAGAAAAATAAACTTCCTGAAACTTCCACAAACATTTCTGGGACTGATTGTGTTTGCACCTGGCTGCCTCTGAGCACATACAACCACTTCAGACTGGGAATCTAAATCCAACGCCCTTTTAATTTTCCCACATGCTTTAAAAAGAAGGAATTACACTGTACAAGTGTGGCAGCAGATGCTGCTGGCTCACACACAGCCCTGCTCATCTGTCTGCTCAGAGTGCAACATCTCCATTTTAATGACAGCTGCAAAGCAGTGGCAGCTGAGGCCAGCCAAAGGCAGGGTGTGATGTGCAGGGCAGAGCGTCACCGCTGCCATGGTGAAAGATGGGGCCTGAACTGATGGCTGATGACGTGAATGCTTCACTGCTTAGCTAAGTCTGTGTACTCTGTAAACCTCCTCTTCCCTCACACTGAGCTTGCTAAAAACAGTCGTGCTTAGCTTGGTTTGTAGCATCAACAATGTGGTGCAGGAATCTTTAATGTCTAATATTTAACGTTATACATATAGATATATATGTCATACATTTGCATATTCACAGTATTTACCCAAGAATGATTTTCCTTTCAGAAAGATAAGCTATTGTGTGTGTATACATATATATATGTTAATAAAATGTATAAAATTTATGGGAAAGTATAAAGAAAAAAAAACAAAACCAAAAGAAAAAAGGTTTCTTAACTCAGCTCCATTCAGCTGATCCAGCCTGAAACACAGTACAACTTAAGACTCACTACCTCCCTGCACATAACACTGGCTGTCTCATAAGGCCCAACAGCGCAGAGTTTTTAAGGAACTTACATCACTGATGGCTTCGATGACCTCGAAGTCCTTCACGTTTTGGTCCCACTTAGTCCTGAGCCCGCCGGCCACCGGCTTGATGCACTCCCAGACATTCTGCGGGCTGGCGGGCAGGATGCCCTCTCCCTTGTACCTGCGGGGGACCAAACGAAAGCGAACCGCGCTGCTCCACCCTGCCCGGCCCCGGCAGCACCTCGGGCAGGACCCTGCGCCCCGGGAACGAGCCGTACTCACAGATTGCCAGCGAACTCCGCCGAGGGTCTCCAGGACACCGCGACCTCGCCCTGCGGGACGGGAAGCGTTCAGTCCCCGGGCCGGCTCCCGCCCGTCCCCGCCGCAGCCCCCCGACCCACCGTACTGCGGCAACCCCGGCGGCCCCCGACCCACCGTGCTGCGGCAGCCCCGCCAGCCGTCGGGGTCCCGGCGGTAGAGCTGCAGCTGCTCGGCCGCCGCCTCAGCGCGCCCCGCGCAGTCCATGGCGGGCGGGCGGGGCCGCTGCGGCGCCGCTTTGAGCGCCCGCGCCGCGCCGCCCCTGGGCCGATGGCGGCACCGCCCCTCACCTGAGGGTGACGCCGGGCCGGCCCGGCCGCGCCTCACGGGACAGTGAGCGCGGGGCCGGGGACCGGCAGAGCCCCGACAGCGGGCAAGGCACTGCGGGCATGTGGTAAATATGTGCGGGATCGGAGGCCGAGCAGGGCTTCCTCGGAGAACGGGCCGCCCCGCGCTCGTCACTGGTGCAATCCCAATCCCAGTGACGCGGAGAGAAACAAGCGAAAAACCAACGAAGCAATCTTCAGTATCTAAAGGAAGTGCGAAATTGCAGTGGTGTGTGAAAGACGGGATAGAATTTGGAAACTGCGAGAAATGAAGTGAGCCTTTTAAAGACCACGGATAGAAAGTTTACCACTGAGAAGTTTACCAGGCTGGTGTGAGGCTCACCAGAAAATTAATAGAGGATCTAGGATTTAATCTAGAAGTCTGATTTATGTTGTCAAATAACTCCCCTGCCCATGTGATACACTCTAAAGAAACTCAGTTAACATTTTTTCCTGATTTGTTTGGGCCACAGCATATTCAAACAAGGCACATCAAGATCTACTCTAAGTAGCAACTCTGTTTGCAGGAAGCTGATTCCCTGCTGAATTTATTCAGGAAGCATCTTCAGCTCTGGCTGCGTCAGATAAAAAGAGCCTCATCTGATGTATTTTTGTATTGGTTTAATTGAAGAGCTCCAAGTACATGGCTTTTGATTTTCCAGTAGGCAGAGATTTGGGGTTTTGACATCGTAACAGTAGGGAATAAATTGGAATAACCTTCTTTTCTAAAATTTGCGACATACCAGTTGTGATATTAAAGCAAGGTACAATAAAGAGTAAAACAAAAGGCTTTCCCCACCTCGAGTGGCTTCATACACTATTCTTATAAAAACTACGTTGCAGTTACTGTGACAGACCTCCAACAGCAAATAAAGTACAACTGCTCATACACTGGCTCAAAACACAACGAGGCTGTGGCGCTTTCTCAGACATTTGAGCACACCAGTTCACTAGGCTCAGACATACTTAGATCAACACTGTTTTTAGATTTCTTTTTGGTGAGTTTTGCCCCGGTTTTTGGATACTTGTCCTTGGTATGAATGACCTGGATGTACTGGTCGTTGCTGCTGTTCTGCGGATCGCTGCTGGATTCAATGGAAATGGAATCAGACTCTGTTAGAGATTGCTCCAGCTTTTGCTTTGATTTTGGTTTCACACGTGGCTCCGGATAGTTCAGGTGTACTTTCTTGTAAGCATATGGAGGCCTGTCCAGGTCCAGCTCAAAACCATCATCCCAGGATTTGTAATGTACTCTGGCTAGATCTTTGCTCATTAGAACGTGGCCATCAGCGCGATCCCCAATGTAAAACCGTGATGCTGGGCGCAGGTCAGACAGTGAGCGAGGGCGATGGGATCTGTTCATGAATTCTTTCTCAAGTTCTTCTTCATCCTCCTCATCTTCACTGGGATGAGGGGAATACATCTGGTGTGGTGTCCGAACCACATATCTTCTGATGTGGCGTGGATACAACTCAATAATGTCTCCTGATTCCTCCTTTCTGAAATGCCTTTGGAGTCGGGAGGTAGAACGGAGCGATTTTTTGCGGGGCTCGTTTTCATTAACCAGAAAATACCTGGTAGCATACGGTCTACATCCCAGAAATACAGGAGCTCGTGCCCCAAGGGCATCCGAATTTACCTGCCGAATGGCTTTTCTGAACAGAGGGTCAGAGTGAACATCTTCAGTGTGCTTTTTGAAAGTCACTGGTGTGTAGGGCTTTGTTTTGCACAGCTCACTCGCACTCCTATGAACAACACTTGGGTATCTTTAGGAAGGAGGAAAAAGAGAAGAAGTATTGATAGACACACTTATCAATTAATAAAATTGAAACATATAAAAGAATTCACTGCTCTGGAAGTCAAAGGCTAGGTTGAAAAAGTGGAGATTATCATATCTCCACTCTTCCAACATTTAGAACCATTTTGAGAAACATATCCTAGAAATTTGGAGATATATTTGTTCTTCTCTAGGAAAAGGTAACCCAATTGTCCTCTCACGTTATATTCCCTTTCTGTTTTCTTATTGTTCTGAGAATTGTTCTTTATCCACTTGGAAAAAAACCCAGCAGATAGTTTAAAGCATCCATCTACTGATATGCCAGACTGGCTGTTTTACAACTAAAGCTACATAGACATTCTGCAGAGTTCCTTCACTCCATATTTGTTTTGTTCATGGAGATGGTATCCTGTACAAAGTATTTTAGTAATGTGCCTGAGAGCAAGTCTAGTATTTACCTTTGCTTGAGCTGTGTGTAAACTCCATCAGCTACATAATTTCAAAAGGTTTGTAATCCCATCTCTGTTAATGGAGGGTTAAGGATGTGGTATCACAACGATACCAGTAGTACCCATGAATGAATCTGCTTTTGAAAAATTCCTCTGCTGTCTTACAGCTCCAGACAGTCTGAATGCACAGCTGTTTTGTAAATAAACAGGTATGGCATGGAGCTGCTGGAATAAATACCATTTCAAAACCAAAGCAGTCTTACCTGTTTGTGACGTGATCATTTCTTGCTTTCTGTACACTTGACACAGAGGGAGCTGGTGTTAAAGAGGTCGAAGTTGTGGGAGTTGCATTGGCAGGTCTCACAACATCAGTTGTTGGCACAGCTTGGGGCACAGACTGGGAAATGGTTTGTATTCTGGTGCCTTTGCTCACGGGAGATTCAAAGTTCAAGACACTGCCATTCTTTCGGGGTGTTGAGGACCGAACAGAAGACTCCTGGCTGATAATATCAGTTTCTTGCTCTGGTCTTTTGTCATTAGCATCCAGATTTTGGATTCTGGCTAGAAAACAGAAATTAATATAGAAACTTTCCAGGTCTCTACATTTAGAAACTGTTATGCAAATTCAGTGGCTTGAATTCCCACTTCTGTTAGGGATCCAATGCCAATATAACTCCCTATGTTCAGAAAAGAGAAACTGGTGTCACACTGGGAGACTTGGTGATAAATGGGCAGATCTTCATACTACAGTACCTAGCAGATGGAGTACTGGGGACACAGAAAAAACACGGAATATTGCACTGTAGGATCCCAAAAGACACAACAAGCCAATTTTTCTTCTCCCTACCAGCCTCTGAATTACACGCAAAGTCTGAGATTATTTGAATCATAAAAGATGCATCCCAGGTTCTTCCCTGGTTGGTGATAAAAGCACAAAAATACCCAGCCTGAAGATTCCAGGTGAATTCAGGTTTAAGCTATGCACAATGTCTTTCAGTGTTGCCAAGATTAAGTCAAAGTGAGCTCAGAAACCATCTAAAAGGAGGATTCTACAGGAAATACAGCTTTAAAAATGTAGTTGTACTTCCCTATATGTATGAGAAATTAAAATCGGTTTACATCCAAATGATTTATTAATAGTGGCATTTCTAAAGGTTGCCAACTTACCTACTGCCATCTGAACCACCTTCTTCTTATCTTCAGTTCTTTCCTAAAATACATTCAGAAGAATGAGGATATGTAAATTATTATGGATTAGAGAATAAATCCCCTGCTCTGTAAGGATGAAAAATATAGGAATTGTTTTACATTGTGAAACACTAGAAGTAACTTTGGAGATTTAATTAGGCTCATGGTTTACTGAAGACCCCTCAAATTACATGTAAGAGTGCTTTGCACCATACTTACCGTTTGTATCTTCATTCTCAGTTGATTGTTGGTGAATTTTAATGATCTTGCAATACTTTGTAGGTAGTAGATTAGCATGCTAGAAGTGAAAGGGGTGATATGAGTCACTTCAGACATTCTTGACAGTTTCTTTTTGAGGGTTTATAGGTCAAAATGATGTACAAGTTCAGCTGCTACTCTGTAGCATTTCCTTATATTGTAATAATGGATTATAGCCTTCTTTCAAGCAAACATAGATGAAAGAAATGACACTGAAAACAGATTTAACAGCAGTTCTAATTTCACTTGTGTTTTTTGTAGGTGTTTTCATTGTGTGTGTATCCTGGAATGCACTTCCAATTGGTTTTGTTTTGGTTTTTTTAATTCTAGACAAATAATTTTGACAGACATTGTTTTGTGGTTTTTTCCCAGTCCAAGGTTACAGAACAGGGACACCATAGTTACAGCTGAGTTTGCACAACCATACCAATGCAATTTTGTTGGCTGGCTGAAATAACACCTTGTTTACCATGGCACAGATGAGATCAGATCCTGGCAGATGATGGCCTGACATAATAGATTGCACTGGCTTTCAGACAATGTCTTATAGCTAGATTTCATGCCACAAACAATTACATATGTGCTTAGCTGTCAGTTTGAAGCAGTCAAAAGGAATACTTAAATTTGTAAATACTACATGCCTGGGACCTTAGAGGAAAAAGTTACAAATAAGTGTTGCTTTGGTCTTTCTGATTTGAAAAGCCACTGGTGGGACAAACTCTGCCTTTGTCTGCCGTTTACACAAGAAGAAAATTGTACAAAGATACAAGCAAAACAAAATAGATCTTTTCAGAGAAGCAAAGTGAATTTCAAACAGCTCAAAATCAGTATTATTTCCCAACTGTGAACAATTATTTCTAACCCAAATAAGAAAAGACTTTCACTGGAGAGTCTGCAGCAAGTTATATTAAATTAACACTTAAGAGCAGACCTTAATAATTGATTTATCTTGTCATAAATCAGGACGACTGAGTAGCTTCTTTAAACGACAGACTGAGCCCTGTTCACTGTCAGAAACTGAGCTAATGACCATGAAGAAATGGAAAATTTATTTCTGAGGAGCTCTTAAGAGGGAAGAGGTTCTTAAACTTCCTGGAACCGTCAGCACCGCAAGCCTTGACACAATGCAGTGAACATGCTCTAACAAAGTATCCCAGAAGGAGGAATTCCTTTTGACAGTCTTTTTCATACTCTTTCATTCCTGTCTGGTCTATATACCACACATTCAGTGAGGTGTTGGAATTGTTGTTCCAGTTACGCTTAATGAAACTACAAGAGTGCAATGTTTGTTCCTCAGTATCTACATCTGACTCTCCAGAGATAAAGCCAGTATTAATACAATCAATTTAACCTGCCTAGAAAAACCAAAGTACTTA